AGAAATTTCGACCGTAGCCAGTCTAGTCGTGTGAACAACCTGGGCGACCTGCCCGTCTCTGCTGAAGAGCCCGAAGTTTTCGACTTGTGGACGCTTCACACGGCTAGTTCGGAACCAATGCGCATAGCGGTTGAAGTTAATGGCATAATGCTCGATATGGAGTTGGACACCGGCGCTAGTGTGTCGACCATTGATGATGGCAAGTTTGCCGAGCTCTTTCAGTCGGTGCCGTTGGAGCCATCGAGCGTGCAGCTGAGAAGTTTTTTCGATGACATGAAACGCGTCCAGGGAAAGCCGGAAGCAATGGTCAAACTTGGCGACAAGGAGCGCCAGCTACCACTATTTGTCGTGAAAGGGGCGTGTCCTACACTGTTTGGACGAAGCTGGATGAAGGCCTTCAAAGCTAGGCATCGCTCAGACGGAGGGAGTCAACGTCGTGAAGTCTACGGAAGACCTGGTAAGCCAATATCACGAAGTTTTCGGAGCAGCTTGGCACGTTTCACGGCGTTACAGCGTCTATATCCGTACAAAAGGGGGCGAAGCCACGTTTTGTCAAGGCACGTCCGATACCATTTGCTTTGCGCGATAGGGTTTTTGAAGAACTACAGAGGATGGAACGGGAAGGCGTTATCAAACCGGTGAAAACTTCCCAGTGGGCCGCGCCCATCGTTCCTGTATTGAGGCGCGACGGCCGGGTTCGGGTCTGCGGCGATTTTAAGACTACCATAAACGCGGTGACAATCGTTGAGTCCTACCCTATTCCTAGGATTGAGGAACTTTTTGCGCGACTTACAGGGGGCAAGAAGTTCACAAAGCTTGACTTGCAAGATGCCTACCAGCAGGTTCCACTCGATGAGGAGTGCCAAGAGCTAGTCACCATTAACACTCCGAAGGGGTTATACCAATTTACAAGGCTGCCGTTCGGGGTTTCATCAGCTCCGGCTATATTTCAGCGAGAGATGGAAAATCTGTTGCACGTTCTGACCATGTCGTAGTGTACTTTGATGATATTCTGGTCACAGGAACCAGTGACAAAGAGCATTGGGAAAATTTGGGCCGAGTGTTGGATCGCCTGAAGACCGCGGGACTGCGACTGAAGTTATCCAAATGCGAATTCATGAAACCAGAAGTCCAGTACTTGGGCCATATCATTAGTGCGGCTGGGCTGCGTCCAAACCCGGCCAAGACTGAAGCAGTGCTGGAAGCCCCCACACCCCAAGCGGTCAAGGAACTTCAGAATTACCTCGGGTTGGTTAATTTTTACAGAAGGTTTTTGCCGAACCTTTCTGCCGTATTACAGCCGCTCAATAGTTTGTTGGCGTCGGGAACACCATGGCGCTGGGAAACTGATGAAAAGCAGGCGTTTTGGAGAAGCAAGGAGCTATTGGCCTGTGCTGCTATATTGGCACACTTTGACCCAGGAAAGCCAACTGTGCTTGTCACTGATGCATCTCCCTTCAGGATTGGAGCAATACTGGCGCAACGAGAGTCATCTGGAGAAGAGCGCCCCATTGGTTTTGCCTCCCGCAGCCTGGCAACCGCAGAGAAAAACTACAGCCAATTAGATAAGGAGGCATTGACCCTTGTATTTGGCGTTCAGGCAGTACTTATGGGGCCGGCAATTCGAAGCTGTCACAGATCACAAACCGCTGCTCGGCTTGCTCGCAGCAGACAAGCCAGTTCCCGAATCCTGTTCTCCGAGAGTGCTAAGGTGGGTGGGCCTTGCTGTTGTCGGGGTACAGTTACGACCTGAAGTATAGGCCGGGTTCACAAATTGCACATGCCGATGGGTTAAGCCGGCTACCTCTGCCAACTGCCGAATTTGTTGTTGACTGCCCTGCCGAAGTGTTAATGCTAGAAGGAGTATACCCAGGGGTGCTGTCGTCAAACGCTGTTGCGGCAGCCACCTCCAGAGACCCGGTGCTGTCACAAGTAAGAGCAGCGTTGTGGTCAGGCTGCCAGATAAACCTAGAGTCAGAGGGAAGACCCTACGAGGCGCGCTTTCATGAGATGAGCGTGCAAGGGAACTGTCTATTGTGGGGCAACAGAGTCATTGTTCCAAAATTCTTGCAAAAGGAAGTCCTCCAGCTGCTGCATGAGAGTCATCCAGGACTGTCCAAAATGAAGGCAGTTGCACGTAGCCATGTGTGGTGGCCTAGCCTGGATAACGATATAGCGAGAACCATTCAAAGGTGCCGTATTTGCCAGGAGCATCAAAGAGTGTCACGACCAGTGCCTGTCATGCCCTGGCCGTTCCCGGAGAAACTGTGGTCACGGCTGCATGTGGACTATGCCGGTCCCCACAGGAACACCTATTTTTTTATCGCAGTCGATGCGTTTTCGAAGTGGATTGAAGTGTTCCCAATCTTTGCACTCTCGGCTGAAGCAACTATTTCCTGCATGCACAGTATGTTTGCAAACCAAGGCCTTCCAGATGTGGTCGTGTCGGATAATGGGCCAGCAGTGAGCTTTACTCCACATTCCTTAAGAAAAACGGGGTGAGGCGAATGCTGGTGCCGCCGTATCATCCAGCGTCAAACGGTGCTGCAGAGCGGGCCGTGCAGACTGTCAAAAACAAGTTGCAGAAGGCTGGCCCTGGAGATATTCGCACTCAAATTGCCCGCATGCTCCTGACATACAGGTCAACGCCTCACGAGGTCACGGGTTGCTGTCCGTCGGAGCTGTTGTTGGGGCGGAAGCTGAGGACTGCGTTGGACCTGCTACACCCAGACCTCAGGACCAAGGTGCTACAGAAGCAACTTAAGCAGAAAATCAGATGCGACCAAGGAACAAGATCCAGGGTTTTGGGCCACCCGCGTGACCAGGTGTTCGCAAGGAACTTCCGTCCAGGACCTGCGTGGCTCCCTGCAGTCGTCATCGTACAACGCACTTCGTCCATGGATGTTCTACTGGAAGACGGACGACGGTTAACTCGACATCTGGATCACATCCGCCAGGCCCCTGAGGAACTGAGTGCAGACAACCAAAAATCAGGCAGCCCAGTATCTACCGGTCTTGCTCCAAGCTTGGATGTGGGTCAGACGCAGCTAACTGGTCTTGCTCCAGGCTTGGACGTAGGTCAGAGGCGATCTCCGGATCGTCTTCACGACACAGAGTCTAGGCAAGATCCCAGGGAAGACGTGGCGAGGGAACCGGAACTTGCTGTCACAGCACCCAGTACTCCTGTCCTGCGTTGAAGTACCAGAATTCGACGACCAGTATCGCGCTACGCACCTTAAACAATTGTTTGTAACCATTAATAAAGGGGGGAGGGATGTGATAAGATTAGTTTGCCGTTCCGGCGCCCGGGGGCGTCGATGTTGCAAGGAAACAAATACGGCGCACATGACCAGCCAGTCAGTGTGGAACCCACCAACATACGTGTGTGTGATTCGGTCCAGCGACCGGCATGGGCCAGGACTATCCGGTTATCACAGTCTTCTAATTTATGGGTTCCTTAAAGTGAAAAAGTTTGCTGTTTATTATAATCTTTTTACATGTAGTAGAGCAAAACCAAGTCTGCATATGATTTGTATTCAAAATATCAAATACTTACGCATCCCTCTTTTTAAAATGTGCAATTTTTTTTGCAGTACCCCCACTTTTGAGGGCTAATGGTATGAATGTTCCCCACTTTCCCAGTAAAAGCCTTCTCTGCCGTTTTGTGTTGCCATCACCTCAATGCTTTTCCGTTACAGTGTATAAGGAACGTTTACGAAACCAAAAAAATATATTTGGCACATTTCTGATGCATGGTATTGGGGATACATTGTTTAAGTTTGTTTTGTGCTGTTGAATTTTTTCTTTAAAATGGTGTCACATTGGGTGCAAGATGGCTAAAGTTCGAAGTTTATGGTACCTTTCTCCTTTTCTGAATCTTGAGAGTACTAGCTTTAGCATGCAATTATGGATTTTCTTTTGAAATCAGAGCAGTATATTGACCAAAAATTATGTTGGTAGTGCTCTTGACAAAAGATGAAGCGATTTCTTACTTAGCCTGACAACATAACATGCACGCACAGAAGTTAGAAGGGCATTATTGTGTAACAACAGCAACTTGTTATAAAAAAGGCCCTAAAGTTCTTTTCTATTCTTTTTTACCACTATAAGAGAAGGGGCAGTTTGACCAAAAGCTGTGGCTATAATGCTGCTTTTGAATTGAGGTCAACGGAAAATAATGACAAATTGATGCTTTAGACAGACAGGAAGTGAAATAAGCGAAATAGACGACAAATGCACAAGATCTATGAGGAAAGCTTAATATCTCAGGCCAGAATGAGTTCACGAATTTGATGTAGCAGTTGTAAATGCGCTAACAAGATTCAGTGCATTCATGACCACAATTTTACATATGGGCAGAAATTCAGGCATAAGTGAGGTGTTTGTCCTTATCTACACCTAACAAAAATACAGAAAGAATCTAAAACGGTTGATGTATGCAAAGACTTCAGACAGAGTCACTGGGCTGAACACAACAGGCAGAGGCACATTTGTGTACCACATCTGGAAATAAGGTGTCTCACCGATTTTTCTTAACACAGTTTTTGAAGTGTGCCTCTTACCATTTACATCGGGCCTTTTCGTTCTAAAGATTTGCCAAAAGGATTGCAGCTTGGTGCTCTCATGAGACAATGGGACAGGTGTTGTCCTACATTTTTAAAGACACCCCATGGGTAAATGGGACAAATATGTCCCGCTTTTTTTTCTCGGAAAATAATGCTCGTATTTTGATGAAACTTGCTTCAAACCACTTCTAAGCATGTTATTTAGAAATCCTTCAGCCATAGTTTCGATTATCATGTGAAAAATGTTGATGAACCTACAAAGGGTTATACCCAAATAAGTTTGGGCAGGTTAATTAAGACTAAGTTTAAAATTTTCCAGACATTATTGAATGGGTGGTTTCAGGTTGAATTAGTGCCGCTCAACCCCATTTAGTTGCTGAATTTTACATGTCCTATATGTATGTGTGCACTACAGAATGTTTTTTTTTTTAACAGAGTGCAGAGAGTTCGCAGACTGCAGCTCCTGTGAAACGACCACCGGCCAAACCTCAAGACAAGACGAAGCCAGTGTCAAGCACACCGGTTCCAGGTACCCCATGGTGTGTAGTGTGGACTGGAGATAGTCGTGTGTTTTTCTTCAACCCAAGCACTCGCACTTCTGTGTGGGAGCGGCCAGCAGAGTTAAAGAAGCGAACTGATGTTGACAAAATGGTTCAGACGCCTCCCGTTCAACCGGATACAAAGGGTCAAGGTAAACAGAGTTTGGTTTCATAAGATTGCTTGTGTTTTATAAGAAAGGACTAACATCTGTTTTGAACATGCAATTAGATTGTGGCAAAAATGAAGAGATTTTGAATAAAGGTGACAGATCAAGCATGTTTTTTGTGATCTGAGTAGGATTCAGTTTTTAAATTGAGTTTAAGAGTTGCAAAAAGCCAGCATGTCATATAGAGCCTAGTGGAAGTGCCTTGATGCTGCGCTGTTTAATCATTATATTTGCTGTACTATATCTGATGCTTTTATGTGTATCATAATATTCATGTGCCCTTTACCCTGTGCTACCTACAAGGTAAAAGGAGTTGACGCTGTGAAGTGGTGCTGCCTTCATGACAGGTAGTGGAACATGTCAAGCCGTGGCACATGCGCAACAAACTGCAGTACCGCTGTCACACTCAACTGCGAATTTTCGTAGATATACGTCTGTATAGGTGCCGCACATAGAAAAATGCGATTATAAATATCTGCGGCCATTTTTAGCATTACCAGGACATGACCAGGACACTGGCAGCTTTTTGTTGCATCAAAGAATACAAGTACAGTCGAATCTCATTAATTCTAACACGCTTAGTTCGAACTCATGATGAGGTCCCATCAAAGCTGTGTATTTCAATGGGCGAAAATGCCCGGTAATTCAAACGGGCAAGCACTTGCGACGGTTAATTCGAACATAACGTGCTCGGAAAATGCTCTCAGCACCTCGCCCAATCCCGTGGCGGCACCTCCGACGCAACGCTGCGCGAAAGAGAAAAAGAAGAAGAAAAAAGGCTGTGGTGGAATTTTTGCTTTCCCTCAAATACTGATCTGTGACGTGCCTTTGCCACGCTTCCCCCTTTTCTGCCCCTTCCACGAGGCACTCCACCGTGCTCCCGACCGAGCTGCAGAAATTAGGTGCCTTTTTTCCTCTTCTAACCACTACCACCACCACCCTGCCACGTAAGGACCCTTCTCCTTCCAATACCGTGCGCAAAGAGAGAGAGAGAAAAAAAAAAGCTGTCGCAGAGTGTGGCTCTCTCTCAGCCGCCTGTGCCACGCTTCTCTTTTTCTCATCCCTGCCACTTAACCCTTCTTCTTTCAACGACGCGCGCGAAGAGTGCAAAAAAAAAAAAAAAAGAGCTGCCGTGGAGTGTTGGTTTATCTCAAATGCCAATCTGCTTGTCTCGACATGGAGACGCTCCTCCTTTCTTGTCACGTGCTGGCCATGCTGCGGCTTTGGCGCAGAGGGTAGTAGCGGCACGGCCGCTGGATTAGGCACTGCGCCTTGCTCCCGACCGGGTTGCAGAAATTAGGCGCCTTTCTCCTCTCCTAACCACTACCACCACCGCTGGATGAAAGAGTGCTCTTTCTTCATCCAGCGGCTGTGGTAGCGGAGATGCAGTCGTCACTTTAAAGAGTGCCGGCGGTAGACATTGCTGGGCGCAACTTCTATTGCCAGGAGAATGCTAAAGCCGAAGTAGACATGTTTTGCGAGCTGCGTGCGAAATTGATTGACTCGCTGCAAGGCAAACGTGTGCAGACGCACATCACCAATTACTTCAACTCTTTTAGTCGAGGCTTATCGCAAGGGTGTCCAACACTGACGTAGCTCTATAGGAAGGGCGATGAAAGTTCTAGTGACTTCACACCATATCTCTAGTCAGTTGAGTGACCTCCGGACTTCCGTCTTGTACATAACCAGCAAAGCATCGTGGCTGCTGCAGATAGCGGTGAGTTTGTTTTTCAGGTGCTTGTGTGGAACATGTTTGCGAGAGCTGACCATACTGAGCATGACACGTGCGAAGCTTTGTGATTACGTGACTTAAGTTGGTTACTCTCCTATGTACCAACCCAACTCGGTCCCGACAACCAGGAATTGAAAATTGTTCATATCAAAAAGGTGACAAATTATATAAAGTGAATAAATGAATCTTGGTGCGTGTATCGTGCTTATTGGAGCTATAATTAAAGCTTGCAGCAAAGAGTGCGCAAGCCACAAGTTGTGTGGAACGACCTCTTTAAGGCCTGACTACACATCTGCTTTAAAGCCCATCGACATATAACTTTCCGACATAGCATCGTGCCCTCTCCCTATGAAGACTGTGGGAGAGGGTGTGCGATGTTATTAAAACTATGCTGTTTTTTATAATTGTAATATCTATATATTTATTGCAAGTGCAATAAAATTGATCATTTTTAAAAATTTTTAAGTCAGGAATTTCCACTTTGAGTCCTTGAAAAACTTCCAACAGGTCCTGGAAAGTCCTTGAATATTCTTGAACTTTCGCTTTGGAAACTTGTACAAACCATGCTAGTGTCATTAGTCGATCCTATGATATCGTCACGAGCGGATAGGTGCGCACCTGCACTTCAAAAAGCACATGCCGTTCCAAACTGCTTCAACCACGTCTTGCAACCACACCTAAATTGAATGAGGAGGAGCATAGAGTTTGAGGAAGACATCACCTCAGCTTCAAGTGTTATGGCGACAACATTTTTAGTCAGCCTGTAAGGTCTGCAGCCGTTCATGGGTTTTTGTTTTGTTTAGGGCCTCAAGTTGTCTCCTCTGCTGCAAGTGCATAGCTGCTGTCCTTTGTGCACAATCTCATAGCTACTCTGGTTACATGCGAGGTTCACACGTCGCTGGGGTGTAGTGTGCTGGCGCTGGCAGCAAAGCTTCTCACAACAAAAAGGCCCCAGAAGGCTTCTTGGCCCTGACTACACAGCAGTGCAAAACGTTTTAGAACTGTGTGCAGTCTTGTTTTTTTTTTAATGCAATTTGCAAACAAAAACGCAAAAAAATTTGCTTGGATGCATGTACAATAGACTCTCAGTAAATAGAAATTTCTTAAGGGGGGACGCGGCCCTTGAAAACCGAAAAATCGCGAAAAAGTCGGTTTTTGAAAAACCACATTTTTGGGTTGTATGTCTCATAAACTACCTATTCTGTAATTATCAGCACCTAATTCAACCGCAAAGTGCAAAAAAAACACTATTTTCGAGGCCGCCGTGGCGTCCAAAACAGGCGCAAATCCCGAAATCAAACCAAACTTCGCGCGCGCGCCATTCCCGGACCATGCGGTCGTTCCGCGCCATCTTGGTGTTGTTTTGACCGTGAATTCTTTCTCTCTCGTTCGCCGCCTTGCAAAATGGCATCGGCAGCACAGTTGAGACGCTATTGGCGTTTTCCCGCGATGCGATGCGGAGCGCTGATTGGCTAGAGCAGCGCATTCATATCTCGCGGGAGAAAACGTGCCCGCCATTGGCTGCTGTGCAGCAGTGGGGGCGGTCGCTCCTCTCAATGGCGCGTCCAGCGCGCTCGCTTCGTTGTTGCTCTCGGCTCCGTCCGCCTCGACAGACGTCTGCTTACGAGCCGCTCTTCGCCTTGTGCTATCTTTTCGATCATTTTCTCTTGTTTTTTTTTTTTCTTTTTGCACTAGTTCTGTGCCTTTCGTCTTTGTTGTTGCGGGCGATGCCGGCAACGAAGCCGAAGTCAGTGCGGAAGTCCGGTGCGCGGAGGCGCGCTATGCGGCTTGTACGATCATCGAAATTCCGCTATTCTGCTACGGGTGCCGACTGCGTAGATGCTTGCAGCGACGGAACTGTGTTGTCGGCTGTCGCCAGTCGAGAATCCGACACATCGAGTGTGGCTGGAGCCGCAAATGCACCGAGTGTTTCCGAGATCGCCGGGCTCGACACGTGCTCTGAATCGATGCCATCCAGTGTGACACCGAGTGCTTCTGATATCGCCGGACCCAGCACTTCGTCTGAATCGGTGCCATCGAGCGTGACACCGAGTGCTTCTGATATTGCCGGACCCAGCACTACGTCTGAATCGGTGCCGCCATCAAGCGTGAGTGGACCGTCGCTTCATCTGCGGACGCGTTTCCTAACGAAGGAAGAAATCGATGCGAATGCGAAACGTCGTGACGTCATTCGCGCTGAACTCGAGTCTACGCCGGCGACGCAGAAGAAATTTCAACTGATGCAGCCGGCTCTTGCACCTGCAGTGACAAGTGAGGGCGAACATTTTTCGCTCGTTCAAATGAACATCTTTAACGTCGTGCTCAGCCGCACAGTGTGCAAAGAATGTTTGAAAGGTGCTATGACTGTCCGAGAGAGCACCAAGCTTGGACTTGCAACAAAACTTGAAGTCGTGTGCGCCTCTTGTGGCACCGTCGATAAATTATGGACATCACCCCGCAAAAAGGACACGCAGGCCTTTGATGTAAATGTCCGCGCCATAATGGCTATAAAGCAAATAGGCAAGGGGCAAACAGCTAGCTCTTAATGACTTTTGGGCTGCCATGAACGTCTCTTACAGAGGTCTTCACCACAAGACGTTTCAAAAGCACTTGAAAGAGACGTTCAGAAAGCCAGAGGCCACCGCTTTGGAGAAGTTTTATGCTGATTCTGCCACAGCAGTGATCAAAACATCTAAAGAAATGGACCCCAGCTTCTGCAAGGACATCACCGTAGTGTACGATGGCACATGGCATAAGCGGGGTCACACATCACACATCGGAGTGGGATCGGTAATTGACTTCTTTACAGGTCTCATCTTGGATGCTGTAGTTCTTTCAAACCACTGCCTTGGATGCCAAACAGGGCCCAAACCTGGAGATGCAGCATACGAAAGCTGGCAGAAGCACCACATTTGCCAGAAAAACACAGACGCAAAATCGGGAAGCATGGAAGTGGAGGCAGGCTTGACTCTCTTTGGGCGGTCTGTATCCAAGCATGGCCAGCGGTACACCACTCTTGTGTCCGACGGAGACAGCCGTACCTTCGCTGCCCTCACAGAAGAGAATGTGTATGGGCGAGTGCCAATTGTAAAAGAAGAATGTCTGAACCATGTTCAGAAAAGGATTGGAAGTGCTCTTCGAAACATTGTGCAGAAAAGTGATAAGCCACTGAGTGGGAAGGGGAAGCTGACTAAAGCCCTCATTGAAAAGCTGACAGGATATTATGATTGGGCCCTGAGAAACAATTCAACTG